CCCTGCCGTGACAGAGGGCCACAAAGTGGGTAGTTGGAACAACCAGAATCTTCTCTCCCAGTTCCGGAGGCAAGTCCAGGGGCCTGCAGGGCCGGGTCCCACTGCGGGCTCCAGGGGAAGGTCCCCCGGCCCCTCCCAGCCCGTGGGGGCTGCCGCAGCCCTGGCGGGCCTCGGCTCTCAGCTGTGTCACTCTCGTCCTGGTGGTCCTTGGCTGTCAGCTGTGTCACTTCCGTCAGGGCCTGGGCGGTCCCAGGGTCTTCCTGCAGGTCCGCGTTCCCACCGTCTTCCCTCTGTGCGTCTGGCTCTGCACCTCTTCCCCTCTCAAAAGGACACCCGTGAGACCGGAGCAAGGGTCCCCCCTACCGCAGCCTGCCCTCGTCTTGACTTAAATGATTACACCCAATGCTAGTAACGCGCCTTCCAGGAAGGACGTGAATTTGGAGAGGAAGCTAGTCTGCCCAGTGCACTTGCAAGTCACTTCGTGACAAAGGCTGGAAGCACAGGGGGCCCAAGAATGCGGTGGCTTATCCCCCTGGTCTTGGCAAGCTGAGGGGAGGGCCGGGCTCCCTGGAGTTCCCTGCTGCTGCCCCGGGCTCTCGGGGACTGTCACCACCTTCCCTGCAGTCCTGCTGGGAGAGGCTCACTGCAGGACCTGGCGGGCTTGAGTAAAGTGTCCACGCAGGTCCCCCTCGGCGCACTGCGAGGACCTGTCTTCCTGCGGCAGCGCCCCCCAGCTTGCGGGCCCGGCTGGGTCCCAAGGGTGGGGCCATTAGTGAGGAGCCTGGCGTCCTCACATGCATCTGCTCCCCAGCACTCAACGCGGCTTATCTCTGTACCTTTGCATCCTGGTTATCAGCCCACACGTTCCTGGGGGCCCTTCCTTGCTGTAACAACACTGGGGCTGATGCAATAGTTCCAAACCCAGAGGAGCTCTGGGCCTGGAGGCTGCCGTGGCTGAAGCCACCCCAGGGAGACCTTGAGCCAGGCATCAGTTTCCCCTGAACAGCCAGGGGCCATCCTGTGCCCCCGCCATGTGGGTGTACGGCCACCAGCCCACACTGGGGGCAGGAGACCAGGGCCTGCGCGGGGCGTCCCAGGGCCTGCAGCGTCTGTCCTGACTCACCGGGACCCTGTCCTCTCTAGCCCCTCCCCGGCCCAGTTGGTGGGTGACATATTTGCAAAGCCTGACCCTCCCCCGTTCGTCCTCAGTGGAAACCACGGCAAAAGGCGGGAACGTCCCTGAGTTAGTCACTCCGATGGCCACCTTCGGGTTCTGATGGCTCGGGACAGGTCCAGCAGGGGAAACTGCGCAGAACACAGCGAGAGGGGCTCAGAGCCACGGCAGCTGCAGGACGATGTGACAGCTGGTCATCAGGACGCTCCCGGGAGGCGTGTGATACCAAGGCCCACCCAGAGGTGCCGATTGCCTGACTTTGTACTTTCTTCTTCTATTTTGGCTCTCTGCCAGCTTTAGTAGCCAAAAGTGACCCTACCAGAAGCTGAGAGGTGACAGGCAATGTTTAACCCTGTGTGGGACACGTGGACCCCCTCTTTTCTGAGGGGTGGTGAGCTAGTACTGCCTGCCCGCAACGCCCTTGTGACCCTCGCCCATCTGCGAACTCCTATCCATCCCTCAAGGCCCAGTTCAGATTTGACCCCAGATGAGCAGCTTGCTGGGCAGCATTGTGCTGGCTCTTCTGTCACGTCGCATCACAACTCATGCTTTAAGGCTCACGCCCTCGCAGGGCCGTGGTCTCTGAGGTCAGGGGCCGTGCCTGGGGTCCTAGGGCTCAGCATGTGCCTGGCCCATGATCCATGCTTAGCCCATGCTTGTACATACATGTGCCGGGGCCGTGCCTCCTGCAGGTGGAAGGCTGTAGCCTCAACACTCAGACCGATCCAGGGGACCCTCACCTTCCCTGGGACACCTACGCCCCAGGCTGGAGGTGGGAGAGGTGTGCAGGGGAGGGCTCCCAGGACAGCCCAGGCACGTGCTCACCCTGGGCCTCAGGGGTGCGTGCTGCGGCCACCTGTGGTGGTGGCGGGGGTGGGAGGGACATGCAGGGACCCTGGGCCTGGCCGCCCTGACGCTTCCTTCTTCATCCCTGGAACCTGAGCTCCCCAGGGGAGCAGGGAAGACCACCGGACCGTGAGCTCTGGAAGGCAGGGCGGGCTCTCCGGCTCCCTCGTCTGCCCTGGGAGGGCTCCCCAGAACTGAAGGAGGGAACGCACGGACCTGCCGCTGCAAACATCCACTCCGTCCTCTGCCTCCCGGGGCTGGGCCCACCAGGGAGCCTGAGCTGGCAACACCTGCAGGACGGCCTCCCTCAGGCCGCAGCCGCCGCTTCTGCACACGGGGCGTCCCAGAGCCTCCCGGACCCTCTGCCCCGTGCCACACCGACAAGCAACCAGCGTGTGTCCTGGCACCAGCCGGCTCCGTGTCGCCATTTTAGGTAGCCCTGGAGGCTAGGAGCCAGGTGACAGGCACAGAACCTGAGACACACACAGTACGATGATGTCCCTAAGGTCCCGGAGCCCAGGACTCCGGCCAGTTCTCTCTGCTCCCCCGCCTACAAAGCAACCAGGTCTTCCTGAGGGGACCCTCGAAGAACAGGGACTCGTCACCTCTGACTTTCCTCCCTCAGCCCCCAGCCCTGGGCACAGTGGACAGTAACTGAGGTGAACTGAGGCAGATGCCACGTGGTGGATCTGGGTGACGGCCGCCCCGGGCATCCGGCCGCCTCTGAAGCACCTGCCGGGGCGGGGCCCGGGCAGGGGCGCTGTCCCAGCCTCCCGGGGGTTATAAGAGCGCTCGGGCGAGGAAGCTGTGGAGGCAACTCAAGGGCCCATCAGCAGACGAGTGGGTAAAAAAGCTGTGGTACATATATACTCGGCCGGAATATTACTCGGCTTTTAAAAAAATGAAATCTTACCGTTTGTGACAGCATGAAGGGACCTAGAGGGTATTATGCGCAGTGAAATGAGTCGGTCAGAGAGACAAATACCATACGATTTCACTTATATATGGAATCTAAAGAACAATATAAATGGACAAATGAAACAAAAACAGACCCATAGATACAGAGAACAGACTGAGGGTTGCCAGACGGGAGGGGAATTGGGGGATGGGCGAAAAGGCGAAGGGATTAGGAAGCACACATGGGCAGTTACAAAGTAGTCACGAGGATGGCAAGTACAGCGCAGGGGATATAGTCAAAAATAGTGCACTAACTAGGTATGGTGCCAGGTGGGTACTGGAAGGACTGGGGGGACAAATATAAAGTACTTGATTGTCTCACCGTTCTGCTATACACCTGAAACTACTACAAAATAATATTGAATGTAAACTGTAATTTAAAAAAAAAAATAAACAAATAAAATGCACCAGAGGAGACCAGGGCCCTGGAGGAGACCGCCCCTGCCAGGGCCGCCTCCGGGCGCCTGTCCCTTCGCAGCCCGCTCCCAGGGGGCCTGCGCTTTCTGGAACCTGGCCCAGCTCCACAGCTGGGCCTGGCCTGTGCTCTGGAAGTAGGTAGGCAGGGGGTCTGGCCAGAAAGGCTCCCAGGAATTTCCCCAGGACGATATTTTTCATAACATAAAAATCATGTCACCTGTTGGCCCCGGGGGTTGCCTCCCTCTGGGGACAGGGCAGGTCTCGCTCTTCCTGGCTTCGCTGGCACTTGCCTTGGAGGAGGTGGCAGAGCAGTGGCAGGTGTCACCCTCAAATCCATTCATCGAAGGCTTACTGAGTACAGGGGCTGGGCCCGGGGGGTTGGAAGGGGGGACGCGGTTGTCATCCCCTTTAGTTACGTGGTGAAGAACAGCCCTGTGGACTCACCTTGGGTGGTCGGTTCCCCTCAACACCGTCCCCCAACCCAGGGGGGTAAGTGTGGCCGGCCAGGCGCACCTGCTTCTGGGATGATATGCAAAACCCACCCCAGGCTCCTGGTAACACTGGCGCTGAACGGTTAGGTAAAATGCCGCAGGCAGAAAAGAGATGGGGGGACGTATCCATAATAGAGCCCTGTACTCTCCTGCTCCCACCTGTTTGTTACCTGCCCGGGAGGAGGGGCTTGGATGGACAGCTGAGACTCTGGGGTCCTACAGAGGTGGGCTGAACCTCAGCTCCCCCAGGTCTGCTACAGTGACCTTGAACAGCCACCTTAGGTTCTGAGCCTTAGTTTGTTCCTCTGGAAAATGGGTATAAATATTTCCAATTCATTTAGATATGCTGTTATAAAATAATTTCCCAGATAGAGCCTTCACTTACAGAAAATGCAAGCTGGGCGAAGGTGTATAGTAAGCTCCCATTTGTGTTAAAAAAAAGTGCTTAGATCTAGAGAGGATGTTTCTGGAAAAATACCTAAGAAAGTATTCAATCTGGACACCGCTAGATGGCAGGGGGTCTTTTGTACTGTCTGATTTTAAAATCCAACTGCACGTATTATGTGTTTATTAACATGTATTGAACTAGTTTACTTAACACATTTATTAAATGAGTTAATAATTTTTTTTTTGGTCTGGAAAAAAGCAAAAAAAAGGAAAGGCATGCGCCCCTGCAGGAGCTGTGAGAGAGACATGAAGTCCCAGGCGTGGCGCCCGAGCCGGGTTTGCTGCTGGTCCCCTCAAGACCCAGGGCCGACCTGGGGCTAAGGGGCTCTAGTCTTGGCAGAGGGGACCTTCTGGACTCCCCCGGCCTGGCTTGTTGATACTAATGTCCAGCCCCGTGTGGAGCCTTTGTTCTTTCCTCCTGGGCAGGCTGATGTGGGGAGGACACGGCCCTGCCCCTAACGGAGGAGTGTTACCTTCGACGTCACCGGTGGGGTCGGTGGGGTCGGTGGGGTCGGTGGGGCCAGCGCCCCCTGTCTGCTTCAGGGAGCCGAGCCTCTGGGGGCTTTACACTCAGGCCCTGGGACGGGCGGGTGGGGCCGGCGAGCAGGGAAGGGCCATCCCCAAACAAACAGACTCCGGGCGCCTGTGCAAACACAGTGGTATAAAGGAGCCTTCCCGGCCGCCGCGGCATGTCCTCTGAGCGGCCGGGTCCCCAGTGCCCGTCCGTGACCATGGAGGCCAGAGCGCTCTGGCTGCTGGCGGCAGCCCTGATCTTGGCGTCCTCCGGCACGTCCGGGCAGTACGTGGGCCTGTGTGAGTACTCCCCGCACTTCTCTCCCTCCACAGAGACATGGGGGGCCGCTGGCGGCAGCAAGGGGCCCAGGACGAGGGGAAGGGACACGCAGGTTCCAGGCTGGGGGGCTTTCTGTGGGCTTACAGAAGATAACAAGCCCCCACATTAACTTCATAACTGCCACTTACCAAACGCTCAGTAGCCCCACACACTGGGTCCTGCTGCCTCGCCTTAGACAAGAGAACTGCGGCTCAGAAAGTTAGTCACTGTCCCAAGGTCACCCTCCCCCTCAGTGTGGCCCTTGGGGTCGGAAGCAGGGCTGCCCGGCCCGCAGCTAGTGCCCCGTCCCACTGCCCATCACCTTCTTTGCTAGAAACAAAAAGGAAAGACAAATGACAGGGACGACCTCCAGGACAATTCTGGATTGCTCAGCCCTCGTGTGGCAACTCCAGGTGCGGGGATGCAGTTTCATTAACCCAAGGGTTTGAAGAAATGAGGGCGGGGCTTTTGTCAGGTTACCTGCTGAGCCGTGTCAGAGGCAGCGGTTCCCAAACTGGGCTCCCGTTAGCCTCTCCGGAGCCCAGGATGCGCCGATGATGACGTCAGAGCGTCTGAGGCTTGGCGTGGGGCCTGGGCGGAGTTTAAAGATTCCCAGCAGATCCCAGCGTGTGGGAGCCGCAGGGTTAAGGAATTGCAGGCTGGCAGCCATAGAAGGGGACTTAGGCGCTTTCTCTTTCCTCAGGCAGAACTCCAGTTAGGTGATGAGGCGAGTGGACTTCTGCTAACTTTAGACACACAGGCTTGCTTGGAGAGTGAACACTGGGACCAAAGGCTGTCCCAGGAGGGAGTGACAAGCCCAACACCCGGGGGGCAGGGAGAGGCAGAAAAGAAAGCTCAGCGTGATTGTGACTTTCTCTACTGAATCTATATATCCTGTTGTACTTTTTATTTAAAACGGGGACGGGCAGTTTCTGTAGATAAAACAGTGGAAGGGAATCTTGTGTCCGGATTCCAGAGACCCCGGGTGCCCTGGGCCGCTGCCAGCCTCAGGGAACACAGGCCCTGACTTCCTGACAGGGTGCAGGACGCACCCAGGGGGATGGCCAGGTCTCCCACAGAACTTTCCTTCTTAAATATTTACATGGAAAGAGGGTTCGCCTCAAGAAGATGTTGGGCGGGGGCGGGGGGAGGGTGTCATAGCCTTTGAACTCTGGAGGTGGGGAGGGGTGGGTGCAGGCTTGCAAAAGGGTGCCAGCAGACCAACGCCGAGCCAGCAGGGTGCTGGCAGCTGACTGGGCTTTGTCCGTGGCAGCGGCGAGCCAGTGCGCCATCCCGGCCGGCGACCGGGTGGACTGCGGTTACCCCGAGGTCACCCCCGAGCAGTGCAACAGCAGGGGCTGCTGCTTCGACTCGAGCATCCCTGAGGTGCCCTGGTGCTTCAAGCCTCTGCAGGACACAGGTAAGCCGGCCCCACGTGCCCGCCCCAGGCCCTGGGCCGGACAGTCGGTGCCTGGCTGTTGTTCGTTGGCCGGGTCCTCGGCCGGTGGCTTCGTGCTCAGGGCAGCCGGCTGCCCGCCCGTGGCTGCTCCCTGCTGTCCTGTTGCAGAGCCATTCATGCAAAATACAAAAGCAATTGTTTCGGGAAAGGTGTCAAAGTCAAGACAACAGGAAGTGAGAACTAGTTTAAAAACCATCCTGGAGGGAAATGGAAGAGGGGTCCCCTCGCCAGGCCAGGCAGTGGCCAGCAAACAAAGCGCCTCCATTTGTGACGTGCAGGCAGCAGACAGGTGGCAGCGCTGGGCATGGCGTCCTGATGCCTCGCCACACCCCACCACACGTGCGGTCCTCCCTGTCCCTCCCCCCACCCTCAGCACGGCTGGGGGCAAGGCAACCACCCCAGGGAACCCGCTGTCGGCAACAGCTGGTGTGCACACAGGCGGTTGCTGCCCTGGCTCCATCGGCCCCACCTCACACATCCTGGGCGTGGAGGTCGCCACAAGCCATCTGGCAGCCCAAGTGCCAGCTCACCTTCTAAAGAGGACAGCTCCCTGGAACCAGCACCCAAAGGGCCACTCCTGACCTTTGTCCCAGGATAATTCAGAGGGGGGACCGGGCGGCCCTGTGAGAGATCCGTCTCATTCACTACCTGCCCCCCTCCTTGGGCCTTGTGGGGCGCGAGGTGGGGGACTCAGCCCCTTCCCAGTGACTTGGGGGAGAATGCAGCATACGGCGCTGACCTTGGAGCCTAACTTGGCCTTGAGAAACTGGGCAGCTGGGGTGGAGAGGAGACCTTCTCCCTGTAACGCATCCTGCGATGTGTTTCCAGAATGCACCTTTTGAAGCCTCGCCCATGGGCCCCCGGACACCGTGGGGGATGAGTTTCCACACTCTGGAGTCCTGCCTACCCCTCTCTGCTTTTCTGCTCTGGACAAGGTTTTGGCGGAGACCTCCGGGCAAGGCTCTGGCTGACACCTAAGGTCTGGAGCCTGGTGACTTCTGGAATAAAACCCATACCCAGCATGAGGACAGGTCTTCACTCCTGAGAGTTTGTGCTATTGTGTTTTATTTCTCCAAGGCGCCTCGCTCCCTTTTCAGCGTGTCACAGATAAGGGACGGCAGGGGGGTGTCACGGCATCTCCAAGCAGAGGGTCTGTCCCAGCCGGGGGACTGGGTGCAGAAAATAGCCCCAAAGGGCCACACGGGCCGTGGGTGAGCCACAGACCTCAGGCAGTGTGCGGACGGATGGGAGGGCGACAGCCTCCCACGCTGCCGCCACTGCCCCCTGCAGGCCGAGCAAGCACATTGGCAATGTAAGTTTCCAAAAAAAAAAAAAAAAAAAATTACCATCTTTCTCATTGAATAGAAAGCCGAAAACAAAAAACAAACAAACAAAAAAACCCCATCTTGCAGACTGGCACTTTTTTGTATTTATTTGCAAGTTTAACATATGTTTCACCTTGGGTGGCCACCTTTTCCTTTTTCTTCTTCTGGAAATGGACTCGGCTATGTGAATAAAGGAAGTGGGGTTGCCATGAAGATTTCACGTCAAGACCTTATGCAGTTTTAACAGCCCCTCTGTGGAGAGTTGTCCCCTCCTCACTGGGACACGTAGTCACGGGGACAGCCGGGGGGGTTTCCAAGGTAGGATGCTCTGGTTTTTGCACATTTGCTCAGGACGAGTGTCCTCTGCTGTTTCTGTTGATGGGACTCTCTTAAGGACACAAGGACAATCCTGCCACACGCATGTCTGCACTGCATGGTGGCCAGGAAGCAGCACCGTCCAGGGAGGGGGTTCTCGGGCTGAGCCATCCTTCCCGCTGGGACAGGCACCAGCTGCCTTCTGAACAGCAGCCTTTGTTTTTGAGTTTGCACCGGGGACCAGGTCCCTAGAGATATTTCTACCCTTGTAGATAAGGGGCCTGTCCTATAGCCCCTGCTGAAAGGGACCTCATCAGGATGTCCAGGTCTCTAAATCCTAAGCCCTGTGTCCCCTCTAACACCTGCCAGGCCTTGGGGGTGAGCCTTTCCGGGGACCCCTCAGTCTAAAGAGCACAGGCTGGGAGCGGCCTCCTTACTCGGGACTCTGCGGCCACCTGAGTAGTTGCCACCTGGACAGTACCCTGGCCTCGCCTCTGTGTCTTTCTCCCTGCCCTGCCTTGGAGGCCAGGCCTGAGCTTAGCTGGAGGGGTTGAAGCGTCACCTCGGGCCCTGGGCCACACGGCTGCTGCTTTGGCACTGCCCCTCTGTCTGACTCTTATAGCCAGCTCTGCTCGCTGCCTTGCTGCCTCGCCGCCTGCCTGCGGCCTCTCTCTAGGGGACACTCTGCTGCCTCCTTGCTCCCTGGCCTTATCCGTGATGACCCCCTACCCCGCCTGTCCTCCCAAAGAATCCCTGACTTACCTCTGCCATCCCTGAGCGCTGCCCTTTCTACTCTGGACACCTCTGCTGGCTGTGTCCCCCCAAGCCCCTGGTGTCTGCCACTGTGTCAGGCGGGACGGGTTCCACTTTGGAATCTGCAGCCAGGGTCCCCGCCCCCACCCCCTGCAGAGCCAGCCCCATCTCCCGACTCTGCCTGCCCCTTCCTTAGCTATGACAATGTTCTAGAATTCAGGAGTGTCCAAACTTTTAGTATCTCTGAGCCACACTGGAAGAAGAAGAGAGTTGTCTTGGGCCACACATTAAATACATTGTGACACGTAATCACTAAAAAAATCTCATAATGTTTTAAGTAAATTCACGATTTTGTGTTGGGCCGCATTCACAGCCATCCTGGGCTGCATGTGGCCTGTGGGCCGCGGGCTGGACACCCCCGTAAGACGGTTCACTGCTTACTCCCGCCGCCCCGGGTGCGGTGGCCCTGGCTTGCTCTCACCCAGTGGGAAAGTGTGACACTGGGAGGTTTGTCATGTCACATGTGGTCAGAAGAACAAGACCCCCTTGAACACAGCACGTCACTCCCTGCGTACGAGTGCCCTGCCTGGGCTTGGCCCGGCGGCCGGGCCTCACGCCACCTCACTCTGTCCTGTCCTTCCTCTCTAAGGGCCCCGAGTCCACATCTGTTCTTGGTGGCTCCCCCAAACCACCCTGCTTGCTCAAAGATGCACAAACAGGATGGCAGTGCCACCCCCACCCTGGCGGCCTCAGCTCGTGTCCCCGTGGCCCCGGCTGGCCCTGTGCGCCAACCTGCGACTCAAGAGTCACTGCCCCTGGGGCTGGGCGTCCCGAGGCCGCGCTCCGGTGGCTGAGCAGCTGCTGGGTTTCAGGGCTGTGGGTCACCAAGGCCCTCAGAGGAGGCTCACTGCCCAGGAAGGAAGTGCGCACCTGGCGCCACGCCTGCTTCCTGACTTGGCCACACAGCCCCACTGGGCGAGGAGAGAGCCAAGGCCTGGGCCTGTGACCAGAGACAAGCCTACCCCGGAGGCAAGAGGACCCTGGGGCGTCTGCACCCCGCCCCCTCAGATGGAGCCCTCAGTCCAGGGGAATGGCCGTCACCCCTCACGGACACTGCTGTCAGCAGCCACCTGTCACTCAGTGGCCAGATTGGGGCCACTGCTTCATCAAGCCCATGGACACCACCGGGGGGGCAATCCTAGCCCCCCTACCCTGGATGGCGGGTTCTAGTCCGTTGTTGGCTGTTCGCGGGCCCGTCCTGACCGTGGGCTTCCCCAGGGCCGCGGGGAGGCCCCAGAACAGACGCAGGCGGAACCACCTTCTTCCCCACACAGGAGCCTCTCGTGGGCAAGTGGGAGGGTCAGGGAGTGGGACGGGGGAGGGAGGGGCTTCACCTCCCTGCCCTGGGGTGCCACCAAACCTTTCCTCAGTTGCTCCTGCAGGGGTCATGGGGTCACCATGCAAGGTGGCCTCTGGCTGTCTGCCCCATGCACCCTGGGTGCGCAACGCAAATGCTAACCCCACCCCCAAAGCCAGTGCTTCGGGGGGTTCAAGCCACGGCCGTGGAATCATCTGGGGGGTTTTAAAAACCTCGGCGTTCTGGGGATGGGATCGGGGTCTCTCAGGCAGGCCCGGCCCCAGCGATGTCCAGCTGCACGGGCGGACACCCGACAGTAAGGCAGAGTGGGCGGTGAGGGGCTGTCATGTCAGGCAGGACAAGAGCTCCAAGTGGAGAAACAGACTCTGACCCGGGGTTCAAGGTTGTCACTCTTTCGCAAAGCCTCTGGGCCAAGGCGGCCATGGACACCTGGGGACCCTGCCAGGCCACTTTTTTAAAAATATTACATTAAAATACCATTTATCTTGATCACTGAGTTTGGGGCATCCCTTTCTATTTCGTGCCTCCCCAGCCTTAGTCGGGGTGCTGGGCCCGTGCTGAGACCCCAGGTTTCAGTTCTGGGCCAGGCGGCTGTGGCGACATGGGGAGAAATGGGTTGTCTTAGAAAAGAGGGAAGGGACGCCTGGCTGGGAGGTAAAGGTGCAGGGTGGTGGGGGAGGCATCAGGAGACCCTTCCCTCTGCAGAAGAGGGAGGAGGGTGCGGTGGTAGCCTCGTGAACGAGTTCACAGAGCACCAACATCCGGCCCCGCCACTGGCCAGGAGGGAGGGGGACACACTCAAGCCCATTGCGCAGGAACGGCTGACCTGGTGTAAACTCGGCAGGGAGCAGCAGCCCCCTCTGCTGGCTGACAGGGGTGACCGCGGCTTCCCACAGTCACAGCTGCAGCCTGGCTTCGCGTCTCGCCTAGTAGACAAGGTTATGAAGATGCCCAACTGCCCTCGCCTCCTGACAGCAACCAGTCCTGATAAAGCCCTGCTTCCCGGAACCTCCCCCAAATCACACAACGTAAGCCCAAATCCTACAGTGAGTCCTTCCTCACACCTTCTTACTGAGATGCCCCAGACGTGCGATGTCCCTCGTTGCCACAAGTCCATCCACCTCATTTGACAGCGAGTGTGCTCCTGGGCTCTTTGGCAGGAAGGTGTTGGCAAGATGCAAGCCAAAGGCTTGGGGTGGGGGGTGGGGGCCCAGGGACACAGGTCTCATCCAGTGGTTCCCTGTGGGGCTGCACTGCCATAGGGAACAGTTAAAAACCCGTAGGCATGTTTCTGAGTGTCACATGAATGAGGGGTCCGTACTAGCATTGAGTGGACACAAAGCCATGGGTGGCAGGGGTCTGGAATACGCCAGTGTCCTGCGGGCTTCCCAGCATCCTGCTGGATACTGAGGGCAGCTGCAAACCTGTGCGTGACAATCTGAGACCAGAACGGACTTCTGCTTAAGTCTTAACTCATTTGTTCTTTTGGTTTTGCATAGTTTGAATACGCCAGAGTTCTCCAGGAGCGCAGTATCGTGTGGATCCAGGGAACGCTTTTTTTTGGTTTGGAGTTTTAGCCGAATTGTCCATTTCCAGCATGTCCGGCCTGCCACAGCGCCCCTCGTGGGCTGTGAGCTGTCTGCCTGGGCGCCTGCTTCTCTGGGAGGCATGCGCATGGCGGCTCTGGGCAGGGTTTGAGTCCCACTGTTCTGTCGTGTCCCCTAGTGCCGCGTGTGGAACCTGGGCACGCTGAACTGCACAGTCGTGCTGCCTTAGTCCTTTCCTTTGCTTTCTCATGTTTTTATAGAGAATTATGTACATTTATTTCACGAAATGTGTGTAGGTGTGTATGTTAAGGATGAATTTCAGGACACCTAAAGGGGGCTTTTGAAATACTGGGTATAAAGATGGGGGTTCTGCTGGGACAGAGCGCCTCCTGCTGCCCGGTTCCTAGCAGGGCAGTGCCAGGAGGAAACCCCGTCTCCCCAGTCCCTGCCTTTCCCCATCTTTTCAGTCTTGAACCTGGATCACTACGTTCAACTTAGAAATTACAAACACTGACAAACGTTCTCAGCTTTTCCTAGGAGCACCTCCCTAAAATGCCCTCCCCCTCGCCCCTTCCCCCGCCCAGATAGGGGCAGGTCACCTGGCACCTGACCCACCATCCTGCACCTTTACTTCCTACCCATGAGCCCGCCCTTTCCAAGACAACCCATTTCTCCCCAACATCCCCACCAGCTGCTGCCTG